TTGTATATATTAGGGAAATATTGACTTTGTCAAGATGAACTTTGACGTTGTAAAAATTAACTTTGGTGTTGTAAAATTGAACTTTGATGCGAATTAGGTGTCAGGTTTCTTTATTGGCTGGTCATCTTCTTTGGGTCTCCTTTTCGGAGAAAAATCGAAAAAACGAACTACAAACATATTAATGCCAAACATTTGGTAGAATTTATATATATATCTAATAATATATATATATATATATATATATATATATATATATATATATATATATTATTAGATTATTTATATATAAAGCGCCCTTTATTGTTCTCAAAGGCGTTAACAATGTAAAAGTTGATTAAATGCGGTAATGCAAAAGTTTATTAAATGTTTCACTTCAATCAAATCATATCATGAAAAGTTTGTCTGAAAAGATGGTTCTTTAGCTTTCTTCGAAATTCAGTAATTGACAACCCACGATTTCGCAAGTCAACCGGCAAACTGTTCCAAATCTTCGGTCCCATAACAGCGAAATCTCTGCAACCAACAGCAAGCTGAGTTTGTCGAATTGTTAACAAATCTAAATCGTTTGACCGTAACTTCTGACACTGTAACAGTGCATTTCTTGGAACAATTCGATCCATTAAATATTTCGGCTCTAATCCATTAATGCTTTTATACACCAGTAGGGCAATTTTGAAGACAATTCTTTGTTGAACGGGCAACCAATGAAGATTGAAGAGAATAGGAGTAACATGATCAAAATATGAACCACCAGTTAACAACTTGGCAGCCCGATTTTGAATTAATTGTAACTGTGCAACATACTTTTTATTTATTTGAACAAAGCACGGGCTATTGCCCATTACCGAATTTACAGGAAAAAAAAGTACATAGTATTATACATGCATACCACGATACATTCGTACAATTGCTTCACAAGTATAACCACAAAGATAATGCATTATACCATGGCAGATTGAAAATAATTTCCAAAAACAATAAATTAACACTAACAGTGTCTTGAGTGTCACCATAAATGCAAACTTAAAAACCAAGATATAATAAAATACTTTATCCATCTAACCCCATTAATCCCATCCTACACCTGAATAGCATAAAATTAACTACACATTTCCCATGCAATAGAAAAAATAAACAAACATTCATGCATCCATCTAATTTCCTTAACCTCCCCTACCTATATACCAACTCATATACCCACCTACTCATGAATCATTAATTATTATTTCAGATAATTATATTAGAACCTAGAAATTTTATTAACTATTTACCAATCAATAAAAAAAAACCAAACAATCATATGAAAAACAATAATAATAATAAGAAAGTTATGAAGTCAATATAAAATATAATTAACCAAAAAATTTATAAATGAAATACGCACACGCATTCAACCATAAAATGGGTAATGAAATAATTAATCCAAGTCAATCATACATATTCCCAGTCATTACTGATAAAAAATAAAACAAGTACATATTTTTACCTATATTTATGCTCATATTTTTACCATATGATAATTATTACATTAACCTCATAATAATGAGTATTATAAATGTTGCATAAGTAATTCTCTCATTAATCCACTCCCATCCATCCATGAAAAATTGTTATTCAATCATACTAATAGATTAAAAATCTCAAACCATTCCTACTTATCAACACACACATCCAATTGAACCGTCAGTTTAAAAGTATCACCTATATTGAAATTTGGGTAAACCGTAGAATAAACTGTTGCAATAATCGATCTTCAAGTGAATTGAACGAGTGAATTAAACATTTCAATGTATGCATATTTAAAGATCCTTTGATGAGTCTCAATTTTCTCAATTGGTAAGTACATTCTTTCAACAACAACTTTATGTGCAATTGCATTGTCATGTTTGTATCAAAAATAAATCCAAGATTTCGTGCTGCCGCACAAAATTCAATGACAGATTCCTTTATTCTGATAGTGTTGATACCCACTCTATTCACTTGTTGCCATGTACCCACAGGCAAAAACTGGGTCTTGCATTGGTTCAACTTTAATCTGTGCCCCATCATCCAAACATCAATGGCTGATAAACACGATACTAAATCATCGACCACATCACCAAACGACGAGGGAGAGGAGTTGGCTATTATTTGGATGTCGTCAGCAAATGCATGAAACCTGAAATTGTACGACTCAATTATTGTCAGTGTTGGGGAGTAACAAATTACTAGTAACAAAATTACTGTAACAAATTACTTTTTCCAGTAACAAGTAATTGTAACAGATTACTTTTTGTGCAGGGTAGCAAGTAACAGTAACAAATTATTTTTTTGCAGTAACAGTAACAAATATTATGCACTTTTGTTCTTCGTTACTTTTTTCAGCAGTGCTTGATTTATAACCATCATTGGTTGTCCTGTTGCGGCTCAGTCGTTCATTAGACGAACCATTTCCATGACTTGCCAATTTAATATTCTATGCTTGTATGCACTTCCTTTTCTTGTTTATGTTTACTCTCAGTCTCAGCATTTCACGTGGTTTGTGATTTAGTAAGTTGCGCGGATTTAGTTGGCATAATGGAAGACGAGAAGGAATTGGATTCAACTGATAA